TCTTTCCCTTCTTTAAAGAAGAAACCGATACAAAAATCCATTTCAAATGATGTTAGGAGTATACAGTCAAAAAGCCTCCAACTGCGACATTAACTTGGCTATGCTGAACATCCTGTGTATTTTCTGGTACTATGGTAACAAAAATATATCAAATCAAACATTTAACCAGAGAAATAGGAATGTAAGATATAGAAAACATAGCCCATTGAGTTTCAACTATGTCAAAGCTACTCAGGCTTATTCTTCTGTTTTGTCCAATCTTACTAAAAATGGTTGAATAAATGACTTAGGATCTGCAAGAGACTGGAGTTTCTGAATTACAGCACTGAAGTGCTCATTATGGTATTAACTGAGGTACTTAGAACATTATGCAATGTGCACCATCCCTTCTTCCCATTATATTGGAGCTCCGTTCCCTCCACACACAATTGTGATGTGGTAAAATATAACAGCAAGTTCCCACCCACAGTTCTTTAAGAATTATTTCTGTCATACTCAGTGGGTGCATCTACACATGCAATTAATGTGACACAATAAATTCCAGAGCTGATCACACTGGAATCAACTGTTCCCAGGCACAGTATCTACACATGTGCCTGGGACAGCAACAATTTAAGCCAGGGTAGTGCAGGCCCCTGGCTGGCTGGCCTGACCAGGCGCAATTAGCATGCCTGGTCAGTCTCTACATGCTTTACAGTGGAGTAAAGTACTCCACCATAAGACAGTACTATCCTACAGCAAAGTTAATGTTTACAGCACCATAATAGCAGCGCACATGTAGACTGTGAGGCTTTACTACAGAGATATACCATGCAGATCCACCCAGCAACTCACTAAGTTCAATTGTTTTTCCCTCAAACTCCCTCAGCTGCTCTGTGGCATGCAAAAAACCCCCCAAAAAACGAAGATAGAGTCCACTAACATAGAAGGTGGTAGGCTGAACAGTGGAAGGAGCATCACATGCCCTCTATGAATATTTACTTAGAATTGTATAAAATAATTAAAGAAATCTGATCATATAGGCCATCTGATTAGCCTTGGATCAATATTCTTCACCTCACTATCTGGCAGTCCCTAGGTAGGACTCACTATTCTTTTACTTATGGTCAGCAGAAAAACTCAGCTTGACTCGTTAATGATATAACAGCATTTTCCACAAAAACCTTTCTAGTTTGGAACTCCTATCCTTGGAGCCAAGATTTAGAGGCTAGAGAGCTTCAAACTAATGGTCTTAGTTTTGGAACTGTGGTTTACCCAAAGACATTAACAGCTGGCCCAAGGTAAGTACTTAAATACCTAAATTTGTTTGGGATTGGCAAAATCTATGCTAAATCTCCAAAGTGGGCCAACCTAGTAGGAGTTCTCAGAATACACTCAATACCAACTGGCATCACTAAGAACAGCCTCTACAGCCACTTCTTTAGAAGAAATGGTTGGCAGTGCCACCAATTGCAATGCTATAGTATTTACCTAGAAACCTAGACACCTGGGATCTGTGCCCTCTTCAGGCTGCGGGATTAAAACACACACCTCACCTTCTAGATTTCCCTAACCATTAAGCTATAAAACAGGGGTGATCAACCTGCAGCACTTGTGCAATAAATGAGGAAGGGGGCAGCACAGTGAGAGATAGAGCAGGGAGCAGAAACCAGAACGGCAGATCAGGGACCAGGTAAGTGAAAGGGATCAGCAGCACTCAGGAAGGCAAAAGAGTTAATTTATAGCATGCGTGCCAAAGTTTGGCCCCATTGCTATAAATTATGCTAAGATTCTCTATTGCAGTGCAGTGAGGCCAGTGTGCAGAAAGTCACGTGGCCGGAGAAAGAACAAGAGCCCATAGCTCAGTGGTGTCAAAGAACCAGCCCACAGAGCCCTATCATCTGGCCCTCAGTGCTGCCCATGGGTCTCAGTGTTGACCTACATGCTGCACATAGTGCCTGTGTAAAATCAATCCACAGCAGGTACTGGATCCAGCATGTAGGGCCAATATGCAGGCCCCGCTCAGTCCACAGGGCCAGCTCTAAACCATTCATCCAGGCCACAGGTCCTGATGAATTTGACAATCCTACTATAGCTGAATCCTGACAGCACAGCTGTGGGAGGGGTAATCTACACTCAACATTGCTTCTGTATTTTATCCAGTAATACTGAATAAATACACAATCAATCACTAGAGCCAGTGCTCTCATAACCAGACTAAAGAGTTATATTCCTTGTACTCTCTTCCTTAGACCATGAATTTTTCAATACAGCGGTCCTGCTACAACAGAAAGAGCAGATAGTGGTCTCAGCCCAGTCTTGCTAATAGCCAGTGATTCCCATAAGATGCTTTTAAGTGTTCCAGAGGGTGTCACACAATCTTAGATGTGCAAACACCTACAACTGATTCACAAGATAAACCCAGATATTTCAAATAATCCGCAATGTCAAAAAAACATGAATAGATAGAGTAAGGAGTAGAAAGCAGAGTGGCAAATTGTACACAGTACTGTGGTCTTTCTGAATTCTATGCAACATAGGAATCGGTCTATTCTTTTTCTGTAATCAAGAAATGAGTGAAAACTAAGACCTGGCATTTTCCAAATGGATGCCTTGAGAACCACTGGCTTAGTGGCTGGGCACTCTCCCAAGAGGCAGGGATGGGAATTCACAACCCTTCAGGCTGAAGTTGTTAAACCCAAGCCTTCCTACTTCCAAGTTAATCACTCTAACCACAAGGTTATTCCACAAAAGATGGACACTACAACTATTTCTATTCTTTTAAAATACAGTTTGAAAAAGGAGTACCCAGTCACCTGAATATGAAGGGACAACTGAGACATCCAAGTCTAGATATAGGCTGTGGACACTTAACTCAGGGCTACACACACACACACACACACACACACACACACACAAGTGTTCTGCCATGAATACCAATCATAGGCTCCAACATCTCTCCAGTTAAAGTACGCGGAACTCAAATGTGTAGTTTGGATTTCTAAATTCCATTTCTGGAAAGCGACATCTAACTTTTAGGAAGCTCGGCGTGACCAGGCTGAAGTCCTAGTTTGGGTATGGGTCTAGGTGTTTAAACAATAAGAGGAAAGTTAAGTTTATTACATTACCTTTGCAGCAGATATAACATGCTCAAGTTTAATTATTTTGCTTTTACTCTCAAATGCATTTATTCTGGCTTCTTCTGCTAATCGATGAAGAAATAGTAAGAAGTTCAAATGGACCTTTGAAGGAAAAAAAGATCAAGTTAAAAAGGTTTCCAATAAAATGCTTACAAAACAGTTATTTTATGTTGATTTAACAAACATATAAGAGTCATCAGTCCTTAAGCTCAAAACATATAGCAGACTATTTCTGAATTTCTACATTTTCCTGAAAACCCTTCAAGTCAGGTATGATTTCGTTTTCTAGCCCTTCACATTTCTTGCTGCAAGAATCTCCAGCACATGTACTTTACATTTTAAAATAAGTTTAGGATTTCTCTCTTACCAAATACATTTCAACAATACCCAACTTCCCAAGTCTTCTCTAAAAATCTTCTATATACGAGTAGGAACTACCCTTTTACTCAGAGACGCACACAACATTTGCTAGACCTGACTCTACTTCTTGAACTACAAAACAGAGCACACTAAGTGCTGAACATTTACTTTCAAATGTGTTCAGAGATACCTTTCTATCTGATATTCTCTAGTAGCTGAAAATAAGGAACAGCTGCTAATACGATATGAACATGGAACTTCCTACTACCATCAAGTGGTCCACAGACCAGTTTGAGGGCTTCTGTCTAGATTCCCATTTCCAACTTTGCAGTGTAAACGAACAAAGGCTAAATTAAAATTCCAATGGAACTGGAAATTCTCTACCAGCAGAAACTGGTGCCACATGCTTTCTGTATCAACTGATCTCCCCATAGGTCAAATGCAACAGTACTAAACAGGCACAAATTAGTACAGTCTAGAGGTTGCTGCAGTTCACACTGGAACTAGCATGGCTACACCTAAGGAACAAGGAAGGAAACGTTGAGTGACTCCCACCTTTCCTAATCTTGCACATAGGATCACACAAATCTTGCACATAGGTTATTTCATTAATCAGTAGAAACTATCCTTTCTTAAAGAAGCTGAAGCAATAGAAAATGAGTACTAGATTAGTGAACAAATTTTAATCCCTTACATGTAGCATCTCCTTTCCCACAGGGAAGACATTCTCAGAGCAACTAAAGAAAGAAGGAACTAAACTAGATCATAGAAGTTAACGTGTATTGTCATTAAAAACCTAGTACTCAAAAAGTTACATGTGCAGCATGAAATAACTTTATTCCATTGTACTCCCACTGAAGTTAACAGGGTTGGTCTTTTTTAAGACACGAACATGAAGTCTGTTATATGCTTTCCTTAATTACTAATGTCCAATTTCTACTGATATGAATAAAAATTCTCTCAACAATCAGAGGATGCACAAACTTGTTTTAAACTGATAAGCATTTAAAAGCATGTTATGACCACCATGCCTGCATTCTATAGTGCAAGCTATCTAATATATAACACATTAATAAATTTCAGTTTTTTAAACTTCACTAACACCTTACCTGGACCTAAATATAAAATGGTTGAATATTAAAATTTGGTAGAATGCTGAACAGGTTTTATTGGCAAGAGACAAATACTTCCCTTATTTTAATTTTGTCTTCATATTTCTATGCTTTTATATAATGGAAAATGTTTGTATACGTTTCAATATGTATACAAGTCTACAATATGTTTTTAAAATATGTTTTGCACCAAAAAGTTAACAGCCCACTAGAACACTTGTCTAATATCACTTAAGCATAAGAGAGAATAGGCAAGAAATTGCTTGTACCTATTAAATGCATCTGTCCCGATAAACTAAAAAATAAATAACAAGAGAAAGTACCATTCAGAATGTATTTACTGGAAACATTTTGGCAAGAGACATGCAACACACAGAGAATCTACTGTTGAGGACAGACATATTTTAATGCTAGTGTGACAAGTATACCACATGGATGAAATTTTTTTATCTGCTGAACTACATAAATATTAATGTGCAACAGATACTTCCAAATGATGCCAACTTTCACATAAATATATGTACTATATAAAAAGCAGACATTCTTGCAGGTTTGCTTGGCAAACTATCAAAGCCATTTTAATCTGATTAAAATATTTTAACTACTCATGCAGAGACTATTTGAAACAGTCAAACAACAGTGGCACTAAAATAAAGTTGAATGTAAGAATCTGGATTACGAAATGTATCAACACGGGGATTAGATTTTTGGAAGTCAGTAACTGCACACATTTTCCACATTTGAAATTCAAAAAGAAATTGAAAATGAATCCCTTCTGCTTAGATGTATACTCTACTTGAGTATCAAAAAAGGAAAGACTGTATTTTAAAGCCATCTTTAGAAGAGAGTTGTCTTTCTACCACACAAGGGAAACTTCCATTAAAAATAAGAGAACAGAGAACTTTCCCCTGAAATCATTGATATAAAAGACGAATCACTGTTGCATCTAAAAAAGAAACAGAATGTGTCTCAATAACGCACACAAAATTAGCCAATATTCCACATAGTTAAGTTTTAATACAACTGTCTGTCTGCCTCTGCCCCATCCCACTTGTACCGGAGTAAAACACAGCACATGTTAGGCATAAAAGGAAACAATCCTACCATAAATAAAACAGGAGAATGTCAAGAGAAAGGCAAGATAGTTAGATGCTGTCAAAGTTTGTCTACAGCCATTATATTGCTGTGTATTACATTAATATTCCTCATACACAAAATATACCAAACAAGACAATTTTGAACTACTCATTAGGATCACCACTTTGCACAGTATGCTGCTATAAAATTATACAGAAGCTACATATTTTAGGTATAAAGGCCAAATTGGTCCTCTGCTGTTATTCTTTATTTTACCCCAAAGAACATGCACAGAAAAAGAAGAAACAGTGAAAACTATTGGACAGGGCACTGCCAGCCCTGTAACACATCCTAGATGCGGTATTAGAATAGTAAGTAACAATTCATTGTAAGGGAACTTTATCCATTGATATTATTGCCAGTTTCTTCCATAATTTTAATCTGCCTATAAAGTCAAGTTTTCTTTAGATCACAAAGACTACATGGAAACTAGAGGTGCACTGATATATTGATCCATATTGGATCGGCACCGATAAAAGGAAAATTGACATTATCGGCCATTGGCTTTTTTTGCCCAGAGGTGTATGGGGGCAGATTGAGGCCCCCCCACAGCAAGGGAGTGGGACTAGGTTTTCATAGTTTCATAGTTGGTAGGATCGGAAGGGACCTAAGCAGGTCATCAAGTCCAACCCCCTGCCATGGGCAGGAAAGAATGCTGGGGTCAAATGACCCCGGCAAGGTGTCTATCTAGCCACCTTTTAAAGACCCCCAGGGTAGGAGCAAGCACCACTTCCCTTGGAAGTTGGTTCCAGATCCTAGCCGCCCTGACTGTAAAGTAGTGCCTCCTGATATCTAGCCTGAATCTACCCTCCGTCAACTTATGGCCATTATTCCTTGTTACTCCCAGTAGGGCTCAGGGGAACAGGGACTCTCCCATTCCCTGCTGGTCTCCATTGGCCAGGTCACAGACGGACACCAGATCCCCTCTCAGCCTCCTCTTGTGGAGGCTGAACAGGTTCAGATCCCGTAGCCTCCGCTTGTAGGGCCTGCCCTGCTGCCCCCTGATCATGCGAGTGCCCTCCTCTGGACCCTCTCAATGTTGTCCACATCCCTCCTGAAGTGCAGTGCCCAGAACTGGATGTAGCACTCCAAATGCGGCCTGACCCATGTCATATAGAGGGGGAGGATCACCTCCTTGGACCTGCTCGTGATGCATCTGTGGATGCATGACAGTGCGGTTAGCCTTCCTGACTGCATCCCCACATTGGCAGCCCATGTTCATCTTGGAGTCTATAATGACTCCAAGATCCTTTTCTGCCTCTGTGCTAACGAGAAAGGAGTTCCCCAGCCTGCAGGTATGCTGCTGGTTCTCTCCCCCTAGGCGCAGTACCTTGCGCTTGTTAGTATTGAATCCCATCTTGATCTCATCCGCCCACCCCTGTAACCTGTCCAGATCCAATTGCAGCCTGTCCCTCCCTTCTAGCGTGCCCACTTCTCCCCACATCTTAGTGTCATCCGCAAATTTGAACAAGGTGCTTTTCGCCCCCTCGTCCAAGTTGCTGATGAAGATGTTGAACAGTGCGGGCCTGAGGACCGAGCTCTGGGGGACCCCACTGCCCGCATCCCTCCAGGTCGAAAATGACCCATCCACCACCACTCTTTGGGTGCGGCCCTCCAGCCAATTGGCGACCCATCTGACTGTGTAGGCATCGACACCACAATCTCCTAATCTTTTAACAAGAATGGGGTGAGAGACAGTGTCGAAGGTCTTCCTAAAGTCCAGGAAGACTACATCCACTGCGACACTGCGTCCAAGGATCTTGAGACCTGGTCATAGAAAGCCATCAGGTTGGTCTGACAGGACCTGCCTCTAATGAACCCATGTTGGTTGCCCCTAAGCATACAATCCCCCTGCTTGCCCCTTGCAGATGTGCACCTGGAAAATTTTCTCAAAGAGCTTCCCCAGGACCGAGGTAAGACTAACAGGCCTATAATTTCCTAGATTCTCCTTCCTCCCTTTTTTGAAAATGGGGACCACACTGGCACCTCGCCAGAGCACCATGAGTGCTTGTAAAGCTGTGCAAGGGGTCCTGCAATGACCTTTGCTAATTCCCTCAGCACTCTGGGGTGGAGATCATCAGGACCTGCTGATTTGAACACGTGCAATCCCACCAGAAGTTCCCCGACTAGGACCTCTATGACCCTGGGCCTGGCTGTGCCTCCCCTGGGACTATCAAGGATCACGCTGGAGAAGATGACCTGGTCCCTGCTCAGAAAAATGGAGGCAAAGAAATTGTTAAATAGGTTAGCTTTGTCATCTGGTGAGACTACCAGATTTCCTAGCGTGTCCTGCAGTTGCCCCACATTACCCGGAACCTTCTTTTTACCCCCTATATATTTAAAAAAGGATTTCTTGTTATCCTTGATCTGGGTTGCTAGTCCCAGTTCCATCTCCACCTTGACCTTCCTAACAGCCCCCCTACAATCCCAAGCAACAGAAGTATAGTCCTTCCTGGTGATGGCCCCTTCTTCCATTGGGTGTACGCCTCCTTT